TAATGTTTTCCAGATATCACTCCCTTCTTTAATATATGTGCTGCAAATATCCTCTTTATAGAGGTTAAAAAACTATGTTAACAAAACTCTGTTGTAGTCTTTCAATGTAAGCTAATTATTCTGTTTTCATTAATGGAAATTAATCCAGAATCACTTATTAAAAATATTGTCTCATTCCCCACTTATTAAAAATATAATCTCATTCTGGATTAATTCCATTCCCCAATACTCCAAAATGCCACCTTTGTCTTAAATACATGTCCATATATGTATAAATTGCCTCTAAAAACTCTGCTTTGGCCTATTGTGTATCCATGTGGGAAAACAACACTCCCTTAATCATTGTAACTTTACAACAATTTTGATAAATGGTAGAATATATTGTCCATTATGTTCTTTTTTGACAAGACTGTTTTGCTTATGTCTTTTAGATTTCCATTTACTTTCTAAATATTATTCCATATTCCTGATAAGATTTTAAATGAAATTGCAATGGATTTTTAGATGAATTTAAGAGCATCCTTATTTATTTATTTATTTATTTGTTTGTTTGTTTATTTATTATACTTTAAGTTCTAGGGTACATGTGCAGATCATGCAGGTTTGTTGCATAGCTATACATGTGCCATGGTGGTGGTTTGCTGCATCCATTGCCTCATCATCTACATTAGATGTTTCTACTAATGCTATCCCTCCCCTATATCTCCACCCCCTGCTATTCGTTCCCTAGCCCCCACCCCTCAGGCCTTGTTGTGTGATGTTCCCCTCCCTGTGTCCATGTGTTCTCATTGTTCAACACCCACCTATGAGTGAGAACATGTGGCGTTTGGTTTTCTGTTCTTGTGTCATTTTGCTGAGAATGAAGGTTTCCAGTTTAATCCATGTCCCTACAAAGGACATGAACTCATCCTTTTTCATGGCTGCATAGTATTCCATGGCGTACATGTGCCACATTTTCTTTATCCAGTCTATCATTGATGGGCATTTGGGTTGGTTTCAACTCTTTGCTATTGTGAACAGTGCTGCAATAAACATATGTGTGCATGTGTCTTTATAACAGAACAACTTATAATCCTTTGGGTATATACCCAGTAATGGGATTGCTGGGTCAAATAGTATTTCAATTTCTAGATCCTTGAGGAATTGCTACAGTTTCTTTAACAGTGGCTGAATTAATTTACACTCCAATCAACAGTGTAAAAGCATTCCTATTTCTCAACATCCTCTCCAGCATCTGTTGTCTCCTGATTTTTTAATGATCACCATTCTAACTGGTGTGAGGTGGTATCTCAATGTGATTTTGATTTGCATGTCTCTAATGATCAGTGATGATGAGATTTTTTTCATTTTTGTTGGCTGCATAAATATCTTCTTTTGAAAAGTGTTTGGTTCATAGCCTTTGACCACTTGTTTTAATGGGGTTGTTTTTTCCTTGTAAATTTGTTTAAGTTCTCCATAGATTCTGGATAGTAGCCCTTTGTCAGATGGGTAGATTGCAAAAATGTTTTCCCATTCTGTTGGTTGCCGGTTCACTCTATTGATAGCTTCTTTTGCTGTGCAGAAGCTCTTAAGTTTAATTAGATCCCATTTGTCTTTTTTGGCTTTTTTGCCATTGCTTTTGGTGTTTTAGTCATGTTACAAGGCTACTGTAATCAAAACAGCATGGTACTGGTACTAAAACAGAGATATAAATCAATGGAACAGAACAAAGGCCTCAGAAAGAACAACACCACACAACTACAACCATTTGATCTTTGCAAACCTGACAAAAGCAAGCAATGGGGAAAAGATTTCTTATTAAATAAATGGTATTGGGGAAATTGGCTAGCTATATGTAGAAAGCTGAAACTGGATCCCTTCCTTACACTTTATACAAAAATTAATTCTAGATGAATTAAAGATTTAAACATGAGTCCTAACACTGTAAAAACTCTAGAAGAAAACTTAGGCAATATTATTCAGAGCATTCATATTTTTATGTTATTCTTTTAATTTAGGAACACAATACATTTCTTCAACTAATATTTTAATTATTTTACAGTGTATATAATGTTTCATACTTATTCCTATATATTTATTTATTTTGAAGCTATTTTAGCATTTTCAAACTGTATTTTTTATATTTTTGACTGGAATATATTAATATTATTGATTTTTCATATGAAACTTGAGTTCAGTAATTCTTGTTGAATTCTTTGTAGATTCATTTACATTTTCTACAATATGAATTGTTAGTTTACAAATACTGGCAGGCTTATTGTTTATTTTAAAACTTTATGCCTTTAAGATTTATTTTTCCTTCTTGTACTGAATGTGATCTCAAAGGCAATGCTGAACAGATGTGATCTCTTGCATTCTTGTCTAATTCTCGAACTTGGAGGTAATATTTCAATGTTTTGTCATTGTATATAATTTATGATATTTTTCTAGCTATATCAGATTAATTTTCTTTTAACAATTTTTTTCCTTTAGATGATCATATATCTCCTTTTCTCTGAATTGTTTTAAGAATGTTTTCTTGTATTTTGTTTTCCTTAGGTTAACTATGATGTTCCTACATGTGATTTTTAAAATGTCTTTCTGTATGGCAGTTCATGATACATCTTTAATCAGCAGCTAGTTTTTTCCTTCAATTTTGGGAAAAATAAGTCATTGTCTATCTTCAAATATTATCTGTTTACTATTTCTTCTGTCTCTACCTTCTGCCATCCTTTTTTATAGATCCTGTGCTCTGCCAAAATTTACAATCTTGCCTTTTAAGTCTTCAAGTATGTTAAACACAGTTATTTTCAAGCCAATTTCTAATACATCAAAGATATCTAGAATGTCCAATGCAATATTCATGAAATATTTAGAATATCCAATGCAATCTCTAGAATATCCAATGCAATCTCTTATAAATAGATAGATAGATAGATAGATAGATAGATAGATTTCTAATATATATACAATTTCTAAATACTCAATTTGTAATAAAGTCAGCTTCTAATATAGCTAGAATTTTTATGAATATGTTTCTAATTTTTGTTAGTTCTCTTTGTTTTTAGTTTGTCATGCATTCTTTCTTCCTTGTCTGCCAAAAGTTACTAAATTTTTGGTTCAACGACTGACATTGCAAACAAAAATGGTAAAGACATTAAAACATCTTGATTATGTTACTTTCTTCCATAATCTTTTAATTTCTGTATTGCATTATCTTGGGAAACTAGTATTACAGATGACTTAATTTAATCAGAGACTGACTTGAATCAAAGTAAGACTTCTTCCCCGCCCCCCCCCCCCCCCCCCCCCCAGTGAAGGCTTTTCTGTTTCTTGTCTAACTCTTCTTCTGATAGCTTTTCTAGGATCGCAAACCAATAAACAAACTAACAACATTAAAAATCACAAAAAAAAATACAGGGAAGAGAAATGTCACCCAGAAAATTTGGCACTGAGTGAATATCTAAGATAGACACAGAGGACCACAGTACTCTGTGGGAACAATATCGAGGTATCAGTGACTAAAATACTAAGCTTCTGTATGCTGCTGTGTTTGTGTGAATTAATGTGCATTTTCATGTGCTTTTGTACACACATGTATCCTAGACTGTATCAAACTATTGTCAGTTAAAGATACACAGAGACTGCCTTTTTGACTTTATCAGTATTGTCCCTCACCCTTCCCCCCCTAGAATATTCTCCATAATATGTATTTTAAGTAGAAAATGCAAATGGAATAATTTCTTTGGTAAAATATGATCTCTGTAAAATCTGGGTTTTGAGTGATGTAAATTCTAAATTTCTAAAAGGAATATAGAAAAGTGATAAAAAAAGGCAGGTCACAGAACTAGACGAATAGGTTCTGAATTTTTTTCATGGACTTAGGTAAGTTATTTATCCTCTCTTTGCTTCAGTTTTATCTTCTATAAAAAGAGATCATACTAGCACATACCTTTAAGGGTTAGTGAGTTAAATCTTTTCTTTTAACTTCAATTAGTATAGTACTTAAACCATAATAATAAATGGTAGCTAATATTATTCTAACTTTTCTGATTCATACAGCAACAGTAAGATTCAAAAAGCATTGAAAAGCCTAATACAGTTAACTGGATTTCTATATTCTCATAGTCCTGCTAATAATATATGTTAACAAAGAAGTATGGAGACATAAATATTGCAAAAGAAACACAGAAAGAATAGATAGCTATATGTGTAATACCCAAAGTTATACAGCTATATAGTTTCCAGAGGAAATGAAAATAATGCATTAGGAGGTTTTTAAGATTTTATAAGATTTTAATACACAAATCTTCAAATTTCCTCTAGCTTCTCTTGAAATTTCTGCAAAAATTTCTGCAAATTTTTATATTTACTTAATGTACAGCATTTGACTGAAATGATATATGCATTTTATACTTTCATAATTCTCTTTCTTCCTCCTTGAAGAGTTATTTCCTGATCAATACAAACTGTATGATAACTAATTTTCTGTTTTTAGGAAACAAAGTCCAACTCTTAAACAATAAGGTATACTTATTATGTTTAAAGTAAAGCTGGAGCTGAAATGTCTGCTTAGCTTTTCAGTCTTTCATATTTTCAGTGGCTTTTCACTGTGCTTCTTGAGAGGCCCTATTCTTATTTCAAGAATCAGTCTTCAAATTGAGGGGAGTTTATATGCCAGGTTTTGTCCTCTGTTCCCTGAACTATACTCTTTTCATGTCATTTCCCCCTTCTGGCAGTTCCAAATTCTTTGATGCCTCAAGTCAGAAACACTGGAGTTTTCCTTTTGAGTTTAACTTCCCACTCCATGTAGACTGAGGAACACTCTTTGAACAATATAAATATAGTGCTAACTGAGGATTACTTCCTCCTCGCAAAGGTCAAATCAGCTCCACTTTCTGGCAGTGTTTAGTCCCTTTTCAGTGACTTCAAATCATTATGTTTTAAAATATTTTGTCCACAGTTTACAATTGTTATCAAAGAGAGGTATAGTCTGATAGGATCTCTTCTTCTATTACCAGAATTTGAAATGATGGTTAACTTCGAAAATGTTACAAAATTGGCTTCTGAATTCTACCTTTGTTCATGAGCAATGCACTTCAGTCTAATTATCATTTTTATAGGTAAGTTCTGATTGCTTTTTAATTGCACTCATTTTCATTGACTTCCTTCAATTTCCCTATAATATGTCTAGTTGTGAGATGTGTGTATGTGCGAACATGTTTGTATATAGCGAGATATTCTTGACTTAGTATACTGCCTCAGTCTCAGGACTCATGTCTTTCTTAATTCTGCCGTGTTTGTAGTTACTCCTTTGAACACAATTACTTCCAGGTTTTTTTTCTGTTACTTACTTTGGGAATTGAAATACTGCACTAGCCTAATAACAGATCTCAAGCGTGCACTTTTCCTCACCCCAACAGGCCATTCCCAGCACATTAGCTAGAATGATCCTGTAACATAAATCATATCCGAGCTCTTCTTACTTTGCTAAGACTCACACATGCTTCCATAAATTATTGAATATATTTGTTATTCTTATAATTTCTTAAATATTATGATATCTAACACATCTGCTACCTCTATTTCTTACATTTTTCTAATCATACCTGTTTTCTACTTGTTGGACAAACATGCTGTTCGTGGGGCCCGCGTATGTTCCCAACATAGGACATTTGCTCTATTTCTTCCTTCTGCTCAGAGTACAAGTCTAATAACTATCCATTTGACCAAATTTCTTAGTCTGTCCAATTTTCAAATGTCCTCTTCTCAGTGAGACCTTTCCAGAGCACTTTATGTTATACTGTGACCTGATCCCACTCTCACGCCTGACTAGGATGTAAACTTCTTAAAGATGAGACTTTTTTTTCCCACAGATTTATTTCAAATGCTTTGAAAAGTGGATGGCATGCAGTAGATTATAATTTTTGAGTGAATGACCTCAAAAATCTATCCACCATGTCTCTGCTATACTTTTATAGTTTTCATATCTATCTGTGTTGCGTTCTGAGTGATTCCCAAAACTGTATACAGATAGGCTAATTCTCTCTTCCCCTGGATCTGATATGCTACTTAGATCAGCAGTCCCCCACCTTGGCACCAGAGACCAGTTTCATGGAAGACAATTTTTCCATGGACTGGAGTTTGGGGATGATTCAAGCACATTACATTTGTTGTGCACTTCATATGTATTATTATTACATTATAATACATAGTGAAATAATTGTATAACTCACCATACTGTAGTGATGGTTCCATCTGGGGGTGATGGGAAACAGTGACAGTCCATCAGGCATTCGATTCTCATAAGGAGCAGGCAACCTAGATCCCCTGCGTGCGCAGTTCATAATAGGGTTCCTGCTTCAGTGAGAATCTAATGCCATTACTGATCTGACAGGATTCAGAGTTCAGGCAGTAATGTGATGGGGAGCAACTGTAAATACAAATGAAGTTTTGCCTGCTCACCTTCTGCTCACCTCCTGCTATGTGGCACGGTTCCTAACAGGCCTCAAACTGAACCAGTACCCAGGGTTGGGGACCTCTGGCTTAGTTAAGATTTTTAAAGTATTAGTGACTTTTATTTGCAATATTTACTTTCTGTTTCTTCATAGTTTGTTTTTTGATTTTGACTTTCGGTTTCTATTTCTTTTTTTTCATGTAAAAATGTACTTACTTTAATTCATCTTTCAAGCTGTTTATCATATTAGTTCTTGATGTGAGAACTATTCTCTTTCTTCTAAAGTGTTCCTTATCTGTGCTATGCTTTGTTATGTGGTTTGGAATTTTTGGCTGTGAGCTCATCTTCAGAGGGGTTGTTTTCTGTAGAAGAACAATGGTTTCTGTATTCTAGAGGCATTTTTATCACTCCTATATGATTATGTTTATGTCCTACTGCCAGGATTCTGTGTTTCTCCAATTTCTCAACTTATTTTAAGTTAATTTATCTGCTTGTAATAACTGCAACTGCAACACACATCCAAGCTTTAAGCAAGCATGAGTGTTTCAATTGTGCCATGCATGATGTTAGATCCCTTTTTGACTTTAAAACACTAGCTCTTTGCACCTGAGGCTTTGCCAAGTTTCACTGGCACTGTAACCTTATAGGTTCAGCCTCTGCTAATTCTCTTACTTTCTGTATTATATCATGTTCATGCTGCTGATAAAGACATACCTGAGACTGGGAAGAAAAATAGGTTTATGAACTAACAGTTCCATGTGGGTGGGGAATCCTCACATTCATGCAGAAGGTGAAAGGCATCTGTCACATGGAGGCAGACAAGAGAAGAGAGGGAGCCAAGTGAAATGGGTTTCCCCTTGTAAAACCATCAGATCTTGTGAGACTTATTCACTACCATGCAAACAGTATGTGGGAAACTGCCCCCATAATTCAATTATCTCCCAGTGTGTCCCTCCCAAAACACAAGGGAATTGTGGGAACTGTAATTCAAGATGAGATTTGGGTGGGGACACAGCCAAGCCATATCACTTTCCATTTTCCCAGCTCTTTCTCTCCTGGTACCTGATCATTTTTTCTTGGTTTCACAATTGGCTGTGTATGTTTCAAGTACATTTTATTTTATTAAATACATATGTGTGTTTGAAGCTTGAGGAGAAATTTTCTTCATTAAAAGTATGCAAAAATTATCTTATGGTGAGTCACGCCTTTCTGCTCAGCTACACGTTTTAGCCCACACTATGTACTCTTGGCATGATATACTGCAATTACACAAACCTCTTCTCATTTTCCAAAACACCATGAATATTCTTGCCCTTCTAACTTTGCCTAAGCACTTTACTCTGCCTATAGTTGATTCCTTTAATTACCTATTCAAAATTCTTCTGGAAAAACTTATAAGTGTCATTTAATACCCAAACAGAGTCCTTTCTGTACAGCAATCACAGAATATTCTATGTAGAATTGCCCTGTAGGTGGCATTTATGAGTCTACCTTCTGAAGCAGACTGGCCACCTCTTATAAACAGAAGAAATATATTTTACTTTGCTGCCTAACTGCCTATTGTGGCTAATAAATAATAAAAGTATAAACATGTAATTTAAAATGTAAATCAATATTTGGAAGCAATATTAGAAAAGCTTCTCTTCCTTCTGATTTTAACTACTGTGAGATATAATGTGCTTTCATGAAAAACATGTTCTTCGGTGTGCTCTAGATGTTGCTATGTTTACCTTTCTCTTCCGTATAAATTATAAGCATTAATTAACTCTCAAACATGAACTAACTCAACAATAAAACAAAAGGTAACATTTCTATCTCTCTTCATAACTAAAAAAAGACATACTTAGTGGATATTCTACCTCTATACTTTTCATTTATTATTAAAATACATGTAAATATAATCATAATTCATAATTCTAACTTTATCATCTGCTTCTTATATTCCTATATTAGCAAAATAAAATTAAATAGATGCTTTTAAATATTATAAAAGGTTTAAATTTGTTTAAAATTGGTAATCTATATGCGATGTCTCTATATTGAGTGAAAATTTGTTCTAAATCTGTAAATTTAAATAACTGCTTACTACATAACTAATTCTATAAATTCAAATTTATAGTTTTAGAACAAATTTTCTCTCAATATAGAGACATGGCATAAGGGTTACCATTTTCAACTCAATATAACAGGAAAAATCAAACTCTATTTTAAATATAAAGATGTTAGCAACTCTTTCCAATGATGAATTTGTTTCATGGGAAATTTTAACAACAATATAAACTAATTTTTTATTCCCGATGAATAATAAAATATTACACCTTGGTGCATTATGCTTTGAGAATTATTCTTAGGCTATCCATGTAAATAATGGACATTTAATTTCACATAGTAAACCCAGAGTGCATTTAAAGATAAGACTTCTGATTGGTTTAGACATATATCAATGCATAATGTCATACATATAACAAAGATTGACATAAAAGCTAATGATGATGAAATAGGGTTATATCTACTGTGCAACCAGGCATTTATGTAGAGTAACATCAACTTAAATATTGATACATGGACAATTTAGCTTTTCAGTTTATGCGAAATGGCTAATCTTCATTTTCTTGCCAATTAAAAATCATCTTAGTCAAATCACTATACACATATTTATATGTGTTTATCATATATAGTCAAATTACTATATTTATGTGTGCATACATATACATATACAGTTAGATTACTTAATCAAATGCATATAAAATCAAATATATAATTGGGATACATAATTTTGGAAAGGCAGAGAAACAAATGTGTCCTCCTTCCAAAGAGGTTCTCAGGCTTATCCCTACTGTGTAAGAGATGAGTTGTTAGATTAAGCCCATCTCTTAGCACTAGTGCAAGACTTTCTCTGGAAAGCACAAGGTCACAAACTACAGGTAAGTGTCTTAGAGAATGGTGAAAGACCAGGAAGCTGTAAATGTTGGGAAGATTCTGGACTGCAGAGATGTTTGGAGATGTGAGCAAAAGTTGACATAAGCCAGGTTGAAGACCACTGTTTTTTCTACCCTACACGAGGCCAAGAATATAATTGAATTGATGTGCAGTGAGTAATCCATAGGTCCCTGGAAACTATTTTAAGCAAAATTACATATATTAAAACCACTTTACCATAGGTGAATGGTGTAAACAAGAGTTCAGTTCCTACAGCATATTTCTGGTCACAGGAACATCAATAAACTTTTAACTAAAAATGCAAAACCCTTCTAATGTGAATCACTGAAATAATTGTGATCTATACATACATTTAAAAAAGATGAGTAACAACAATAGAAAATTATTTACCCAATATTTGGTGACTCAGTGAGTGATAGCAGCCATAGTGGTGGTGAATTAAGTCAAAGAATAAATATTTACAAAATGAAAATTGTAAGGAACCCCTCCTCCTATCAGGAAGTCCAAAAAGGATAACAAATATGGTCAGTTCACTGAGTGCTCTCCTACGGCATTGTTGATTATTATGCATTTATATTATTATTGTATATTTCATGGATTTTTAATTTTACAATTATTTGTATCCATTCATTTATTGATTTTCTACTCCCTTATTCCAGTCCAGGGTTGCAGGTGGCTGAAGACCATCTCAGCAGCTCAGGGTGCAAAATAGAAACCAAACGTAGACAGGATGCCGTTCCACTGTGGGGTACACTCACTTCCATATCCATATTCATTCAGACTGGGACAATTTAGACATGCTAATTATCTTAACGTGTATGTCTTTGGAATGTGAGATAAAACTGGGAGAAAACTCACACAGACATGGGGAGAATGTGTAAACTCTACACAGGTAGTGCCCTGGGTGGAAATCCTTTTTGTATTTCTCATTAATGTTATAACACAATGTCATTGAATGAAACAATGATATTTGAAGACCTGCTGTGAATCAGAGTTAACAGAAGTGAAAGCACTATGAAAGAAATGATATTTGGTATGTATGTAGTAATAAAGAGATTTGTTCTTTATTTATGAGAGCAATAAAAGTGAAAGCAAATAGCATTACAGTAGAGCAAGGGATTTCAAACAATGAGGGGGTGAATATAACAATTATAATTCTACCAAACCATTATTTTACTAAAGTTAAACCAATGCACATAAAAACTTGTAAATATATAATAAGATGGTAGAAATAAAAATGATGGTGTTACCACACCATATATGAAAGATTTGGATTTTCTTATTAGAAGACAGAAATATCACACTAAACGAAAAAACAAAATGCTTTTCTGCACTGTTACAAATAAAACACTCAAAATGAAGTAGTAAAAAATGTTAAAAATGAGATGATACTTAAAAGTTCTTAGCTCCCATAATATTTTGTAACATATTTGATAAATAATACTAGTAGAAAAAATTGTTGAGTAAGTCTTAATATGTAATTGACACCATGAAATATTGCCTCCATACAAAAGAATGATAGAAGTGCTATGTCACTGGCTTTATAAATGTTCCCTAAGTAATTTTAGTAAGTAAAACAAAATTTCAAAGTGTTCATATTTGATCTCATTTTATGTGTAAAAATGTTGAAAAAATCTCCTATATATTTACATGTTATTGTGGACAGCATATGAAATACATAACCCAAGATGTCAATGAAGATTATGTAGAGAAGATATTAGTGAACTATTGAAGAAAGATAAAAACACTAGTAATTTAAAAAAACTAAAATTCTGTCTAAAAAGCTTGGTAAATGACTAGCTAAACTACTTGAAGGAAATGTAATCACAGTGAAGAAAAACATAGAAAATTTTAGCAGAGAAAACATATACAACAATAATCAATGGAATTTTAGAATGGAAAAATTAAAGAACAAAATATAAAGTGGATGAACTTAGCAGAATAGAACTAATTGCTATCTTTTAATTGAAGCACTTAATTCACTAATATTTAATGTAATTATTACTATGGATACGCTAAGATTTAATTGTTTGTTTTCTCTTTGGCTTCTTTGTTGTTGTCATCCTTCACAATTTTATTGGCATTTTCCAATAACCAACTTCTGGCTTTTCTAACTTTTTTCTATTACATCCATTTCTGTTCTTATATTAATTATTTTCATCCTTCTACTAACTTTGGGTTTACTTTGGTCTTTTCTGGTCTTCTTAAAGTGGAATTTTAGTTCATTTTAAAGACTTTTAAAAAATATTTCTAACATTGAGAATACTCATAAGAGTTGCTTCAAAGTACATATCTGTGCCAGGCCTGGTAGCTCATACCTATAATCCCAACATTTGGGAGGCCAAGGTGGGAGGATTGCTTGAGCCCAGGAATTCGAGACTAGCCTGGCCAACATAGTGAGATTCCATCTATATCTCACTTAAAAATATAATATTTTAAAAGAGGAAAACATATTTATCTGGGTCATCTCAAGTGTAGCCCTCACAGAGAGTCGGAAAACATATTTCAGGATATCATGCATGAAAATTTTGTGTAGTATTATTTTGTAATATAGTAGCATTTTTTCTAGAGTTTAAAATTGTTACCTTCTGGAGGGTTACTCTGTTAGGAGTTTAATCTACTGAGAAACTGAACTCTGGGAGAAGTTCTTTAGAACTATCTTTTGTAGAGAACATGCCATTTTTCACATGACTTTAATAGGAGATAATTTTTTAAACTTAATGTCATCATTTAATTATGAAATTTATTGACTTTTCGTATCTAGTATAGGATAATCTGTGTATCAAAATTTTTAAAGTGGAAATAAGAAATATTAAAGCTATACAATCTAGAAAGATGATGAGTTTACCAATTTATTCACTATTGAAACACAATATATTTCTCTGCTGTTACCTAACTATAAATTAGATGGAACTGTGTTTTTTTCTGCTTTTTTTTTTCAGTTTGCTGTTTCTGTAGCCATATTGTATTCTGTGTCAAATAAAATCCAGTTGGATTTAAAAAACAAAAAGAAATAAACAAAATATAATTAGGGCTTCTGTAATATAGAAATACCAATATTTCTTTGGAACAATGTTAGAATTCTTACATTTACCAGAGTTTAATAGTAAGCTTTAATACTGTGCATTATAGGCCGGGTGTGGTGGCTCACGCCTGTAATACCAGCACTTTGGGAGGCCGAGGATGGCAGATCACTTGAGGACAGGATTTCGAGACCAGCCTGGTCAACATGGCAAACTCCCCTCCATCTCTACTAAAAATACAAAAACTAGCAAGGTGTGGTAGCAGGCGCATGTGATCCCAGCTACTCGGGAGGGTGAAGCAGGAGAATCACTTGCACCCGGGACGCGGAGATTGAAGTGAGCTGAGATTGTGCCACTGCACCCTAGCCCGGGTGACAGAGATTCTGTCTCAAAAAAATAAAGAAATAAAGAAAAAGGAAAAAAAAGACTAAGCATTATAAATATATTGCAAGTTAGTTATTTCATTTAGTTGCCTTAATGCAAACTATGAAGCTGATTTAAATACATATAATAAAATATCTAGCAAGGTAATATTTAAAGAGATATAAGAAGGGGAACATTTAGTATTTAGCACATTCTTTTATATTTGGACCCTCATGATACTATTTGATCGTATAGTCAAGGACATCAAGAAGATAGTTTATATAATTCACAGATTTTATGTACAAATTTATGTGTTAATAAAATATTAACTGACAACAGTTTAATTTTGTGAATATTTATTTTTTTAAATATCAAATTTCATAATTATATACCAATAACTGCATTTAAACTTTACCTAGCTGACAATTTGGAGTTATATGGCAAATTATTCCTTATTTTATAGTAATTATTCCTTCATAATTTAAGAAATGAGTCAAGATAGAATTGAAGAAATTATAAGTTGCATTCATACATAAAGGATTAAGTTGTATATGTAAAATCAAGCTGTCTTAGTATCACCATTTTCTAAAACCCTGCATCTATTTTTCAATTTACTTCTGTTCTAATAAAGCAGAAAATGACATCAAGACAGAATCAAATGGTGCAAAACGATTTTAAAGAAATGGTGCATTAATTTTTATTTGAAATTGGAATTTTAAAAAAATTTTTAACATTTATAAATTAAATTAAAGATTATTTACAATCTTGTGAGCATGGTAGTGATTTATCATCCCATTAGATAAGATCACAATAACGATTGTACTATTGGCTTTTCCTTTTAATAAGAGTTATCAAAACGATAGGCTGAGGGCAGATGTGTGGACTAACTGAGTAAGTGCATTATTAGCAGCTCAGACATTGGTTAGATGTCAGCCAAAAGTACTGAAACATGGCCTCGGAGTGCTAAGGACCAGACTCCCTGAGGGCCAAACACTCTGTACATATGTTGTTTCAAGACACAATTTGAATAAATTGTATAATTTATATAATCTTTCTTCAAGTGATGATTTTAGTTAAGTTTCTAATGTGCCTGTTGCATTAAAGCTTTTTTTGTGCCGGGCGTGGTGGCTCACACCTGTAATCCAAGCACTTTGGAGGCCAAGGCGGGCGGATCACCTGAGGTCGGGAGTTCAAGACTAGCCTGACCAACATGGTGAAACCCCGTCTTTAAATAAATAAATAAATAAATAAGTTTTTTAAAAGCTTTTTTTGTTTGTTTGTTTGTTTTCCATTTTTTTGTTAATTATATAAACAAACCCTCTACCTCTACTTACCATTGTTTTTTTATTATTACACTTTAAGTTCTGGGGTACATGTGCAGATCCTGCAGGATTGTTACATAGGTATGCGCATGACATGGTGGTTTGCTGCATCTATCCCCCAGTCATCTACATTAGTTATTTATCCTAATGTTATCCCTCCCCAATCTCCCTACCCCCTGCTATCCCTCCCCTAGCCCCCAACCTCCCAACAGGCCCTGGTGTATGATATTCTTCTTACTGTGTCCATATGTTCTCATTGTTCAAAGGCCACGAGCAAGAACATGTGGTGTTTGGTTTTCTGTTCTTGTGTCCGTTTGCTAAGAATGATGGTTTCCAGCTTCATCCACGTCCCTGCAAAGGACATGAACTCCTCCTTTTGTATGGCTGCATAGTATTCCATGCTGTATATGTGCCCCATTTTCTTTATCCAGTCTATCATTTATTGGCATTTGGGTTGGTTCCAAGTTGTTGCTATTGTAAACAGTGCCACAATGAACATATCTGTGCATGTGTCTTTATAATAAAATGAATTATTTATAATCCTTTGAGTATATACCCAGTAATGAGATTGCTGGGTCAAATGGTATTTCTATTTCTAGATCCTTGAGGAATCGCTACACTGTCTTCCACAATGATTGAACTAATTTACACTCTCATCAACAGTGTAAAAGTGTTTCTCTTTCTCCACATCCTCTCCAGCATCTGTTGTCTCCAGATTTTTTAATGATAGCCGTTCTAACTGGCGTGAGATGGTATCTCAATGTGGTTTTGATTTATATTTCTCTAATGACCAGTGATGACGAGCTTTTTTTCATATGTTGGTTGCCTGCATAAATATCTTCTTTTGAAAAGTATCTGTTCATATCCTTTGCCCACTTTGTGATGGGGTTGTTTGTTATTTTCTTGTAGATTTGTTTAAGTTCTTTGTAGATTCTGGATATTAGTTTTCTGTCAGTTGGGTAGATTGCAAAAATTTTTCCCATTCTGTTGGCTGCCGGTTCACTCTAATAATAGTTTCTTTTGGTGTGCAGAGCTTTTTCTTGCCATTTTCATACTATAATGTAATTAATTTTTCAGCTCGCCAAGAGCGTAAATTGAAAACTTTAAATTTTCATTTTTGTTGTGTTTTTTGGCAAATGAAAAAATAGCAATATGAAAAATATGGAGATAAATTAGGAAATTTGGTCACAAGTAAACATCAGCACAGGGAAATAGAGAATATAAATTTATTTATATCAATTCAAGCTGATATAGTAAGAAAGGCTTATTAGGCAGATATGTTTAATCTCTACCATAAGCATTCTTGCTAATTGGAAATGCAGTTTAAGTTGCCAGGAATAAGGTCATGCTATGTGATCCAAACATAATGGTGGATAACACTTGAAAAAACAATCTGCTTTCTAACATGACAAGAATGATTTGCAGTTAATAACAGAGGTGGAAAGGCCAGTCTTCTCAGTTACCCTTGACTTCACCTAGGATGAAAAAAGAAATAACTTCTGCTGCTATGAACTACTTACTTTTTTCCTGGTCATTATTGCTTAGTTATATTTCAGTGATGAAATCTATCATTACTGACTTTATTGACATCAAAGCTGATTTACGTTTGTGCCTGGTGAATAAAAGCGGCACTGTGCTGCATCCAGATTGCTGAGTACTTGAGAAAGCAAGTGTAGCTCCAACTTAATTGTCTTTTGCTGGTTCACTTACCCTCTAATCTCAGTTTGAAAAAAAATATTATTCCTTTATCAAGACAAGAGATAGTGGAGAACTGATAGGTCTAAACTATTTGTTTACTTGTTGTTGCTGTTGTTGATAGGTGTTATGGACTAAGGAATTTAAAGTCATTTAAAATTTTCAAATATTTTCGCCAGAAAGCCCCACTTATTTTAACAGAATTTTGTATTTGATCTCCTTGCCATTCGAACCTTGGGAGACAGAATTTGGTAAAAGGCAATCAGTCAATTTATTTTATATTAACAATGGATTAGTGAAGTTTTAACTATTTAAAATGGAATCATTATCATTTTAATACTTGGTTTATTGAGTTATTTTTTCACTTCTTCCCACTAATTGTGTTCATGTATGGTAGATTTGACAGTGAAGAACATTATATTATAGAGGGAGGTTACTTTAAATTTATTGTTTAGATTAAATGGGAGAAAGCTGGGATGGCTGGGATAGCTATCAGACCATGGGCAACACAGGCTGTTCCACTCATTCTGGCTCCCTCTCATTTTCTTTCACAGGCATTTCACTATTTAAACTTATACAAATGTAATTATGTTTTGGCCTCTTTTTCTGGGGGAACTAGAAGCAACACATCTATCATGCAATATTGATTTTTAAATCCCTAAGGGATACATTTAGTATGCCTGCAAAGATAAAATGAATAAATAAAATCCCTAAGAGAAATCATAAGATTAGCAGTGATATTAAAAAGTATTTAACAACTAAAATAGTGCATGTATAAAGATGAGTCCAAGTGGATGACAAGCAATCAAAACAGATTCTGGTTGCTAAAAGTCTATTATGGCTGAACTTGTGAAGAGTGACTTAGATAGGAATACATCTTTCTGTGAGATTTTGGAGTAAAAATGAATAGCAAATATTGAAATAGATGATTGGTAATATTCATTCAAATGGCAAAATTATATAAGCAATGCTGATGTTATTTTTGCATAATACTATTAATTTTCAAGGAAAGACTTTTTCATGTATTTTTATTGTATATTTATTTTATACTGTGATTTAATATAACATTTCATCATATTTAGGGGTCTACGAGCCATTTCCCATAAACTCAAATATTAATGAATCCTTACCATTTTGTGGAAAAAATGAGTGGAGAGAGAAAGAAAGGTGGATAAAAAGAAAGAGAAAGAGAGAGAGAAGAAAAAACAGATGAAAGAATAAAGCAACTGCTTAACACTGAAATCCCATTCTTTTAAATGATTGTTTAGTTCTCAGAACAAACCTGCTTCTATTACATAAATTTCTGTTATCATTTCAATTTTTGACAAAAAATCCTGAAATCTGAGAATTAGTTATCACAATATTTCATCTGTCATAACAGAGTTTATATTGTGAGGCCAGATAAAACTGGATTGGAGTCTTGACTCCCATTTAGTAGATAACGCAACCCATGGCAAGTTACTTAGTTTCTTTATGTCTCTATTTTCTATAAGTAAATGAAGAAATAATGTTACATATTTTAAGACTTGGTTTGAAGGTTAAATAAGATATTACATGCAAAACGCAGAGCACAATGACACATAATATTTTTTAATGCTAGCTGTCATCCTCAACATCACCATTATATTATGTCATCTAGCTGATACATGACAAAGAATATGAGTCGCATTTATCAGAAATATGAAGTTCTGAGCAAGAAGCAACACTCATGCCTGCATCTGAGCAGGCATGGGAAAATAGCTATTGTCAGTTTTTAATAGATGATAACAACAAGATTCATGCAACACTTTCTTTAAAATAACCCATTCAATTTCC